CAGGTGTAGACCATTGGCCATGTTGCTGACATCAAGAAAATCCTACATTGCCCTAAGGTAACATTAACGTCCTTTGTGTTAGCTCCATTCTTCGCATTCCTTCTTAAAATATTGAACGGCGCCTTGACCGTTGTCAGGATCTCATGCACTTCTAGCTTCGTTTTTTGCACCTGCTAGGTCAGACATCGCGTTATCATTATGCTTTTGCTGATGGACAAAATAGCGGATGGTTAGTGCTAGTTGGTCTCCTAGTCTCTCGATGACTAAGTAGCAAGAAGGTACCTGCTGTCTCTTTTCATATATTGTCGCCCATGTCGCGGACATATGCCCTCCTTTTATCTCCTACTGTTACTCCGCTTAGCAGCTTCAGGTCACAGATTAAAAGCCTTGTAATTCCTGATTATGTGCTATCTTCCCGTTGCAGCTGTTTTTTGTTTGTTTTCATTAACTTTTCTATTATCACCTATTTGGTTGTGTCAATGCGTTCGCGCTAGCACCCTCACCGATGACCATGTGTGCCTACTTAAAACTAATAAGTATACAGATCGTAGGGATATAGTTATTGGGAGTAGTTATGCCCTCGTCCATCCGGTCCATCTCATCTAAATTATTTGAGTTCCCGGGGTTAATTCATCAAAGAACTTTCTGGAACTAAAGTGCGTTTGAACCACATAAAGATGTCATGTCCACGTTCCCATTGGAAGGTTAATTTACTATCTGACTTACTTTCACATGCATTAGCCGATTCCCGCGTAGCCGGTCGCCATGGTTTATCCTGGTGGAAGTCAGCGCATCTCTCACAGTTGTCACCGGCCGTGTTGTGTGTACATTCGCACACACCATAAACCTGCAAACAGCCAAAAAAATATTGCTCAGATTTTATTTCAAGAGGGTTGTTTGAGGTCACAAAAACTAGGCATTTACGAAAGGCAGCAATAAAATAACGTCCCAAAGATATTCGCTAAGAGTTTTAACACCACCGGCCCCTCTAAGGAGCTTTAAAGTAATGAAAACAAAGTTGACTTATCTTCCGAAATAATTAATAATAATTAATATTACGAAGTTGGAAGGCTAATTAAGTTCACTGAACAGGCACAAGGGTTCAGTTTCCCCTTCCGAAAGTTGTAGGAGTTTACTTTTCCTTTATGCGTGTTTGGAGATA